AGAGAAAGATCCCAGCAGGAACATCTGGAGTACCGTAATATACATGTATACACACTAGTATTCCAAATCGAGTGCCCCATTCCCAAAAAACTACATCAAATTACATTAAATGTTCCAAAAATAGACAACTCTGTTTTCTTAATCCATAATGAAACCACTTGACAGTCATTTGAAAAGCTCAAAACGAACTTTTAATGTACATTAAATCGTGTGTGCACCAATTTAGTTGATTATTATCTCTGTGGTCATTCTGCTGTAGCTTATAAAGTAAAAAGAATATTTTTTCCCCCAAGCACATCTCTATCATGATTCTGAAATATTTAGCAAATACTCTCAGTTCTGCACCTGGGTGACAAGTGTGCAAGATTTTAAACTTTACAGAAGTCACAATGACGCACCAGAGTCTGCTGCTGCAGAAGATGTAGGTGCAGTAGTAGAAAAACCATGTTTCATTTTCAAAATGGCCTCTTTGCTCATGTTTGCTCCTGTTTGGAACCAAATTCCTGCTTGGAAAAGATCCCGGTTTACTCTGAAAGTGGCTCCTTCACCGTCCTGCAAGCTAAAAGAAAATGTAAAACTTGCTCACATCTTGGGTTTGCAGAAACGTTGATTTCTAGAAGGCTGATTTTAATATTGCAGTTTGTAGAAAACAACAGACGTTGTTTTGTTTTTTACTGAGGAGAGATTTCAAGAAAAGACCAAAACCAACAATTAAAAAAAAAAAACAAATTTTCACCTGACTGATGCTGAATCATCTGGTCAGGTGCCACAAGAGTTAATCACACCTTAAAGTCATTCTTATCATCTGAATGAAACATTTAGGAAGTGGAAATGCGCAGGAAACCGTTTCTGTTTGCCACCTGCAGCAAACATTCAGACAGCACTAACGTGTTTTACTTAGGATGATTCAATCCAGTTCTAATCCAAGTCTAAGCATCAAATTGGAGGTTTTTAGACAAAACTATAAATAATAATAATAATTATTATTATTATTATAAATTGTAAACTAATGTGATTTTATGAATTGTTCAAATAAAAACAGCGTGTGTTTATTTTTTCCAACAAACAGAAAAAAAAGCTCTGGGTCTAATAACCCTGAAGATAATCTCATTTATCTCTAAATAAACACGATTTTCTTTTAGGCGTGACCGACCGCAACAGCGGCTCAAAGTGATTAGACACAGCAGATTTTAGCTGGTAGCACTCCTTGCAGAAGGTTGCCGGTTCAAATCCAGGCAGCGGCCTTTCTGTGTAGAGTTGAGTAGTTCTTCGAGTGGCTTTTTCTCTGAGTGCTCTGGTTTTCCTCCACAAACAAAATACCACCTTAACTTAACCGGAGGCGAATGGTGTGAGGGTGTGGCTGCTGTTCTGTCTCTGTGTGTCCTTGCGTTGGACCGGAGACCCGTCCAGGGTGTCCCCTGCCTCTCACCTGATGACTGAAATAGGCACCAGGTCCTCGTGACCCCGCCGAGGAACCGTGGTCTGGAACCCCCCCCCCCCCCCCCCCCCCCCCCCCAAGACTGCAGGGGGTCCCCACTATTATTGTCTGAGATTGTGAGTTTACGAAGATTATATTTCTAAAATTGACATTTCTAAAATCCTAATAACACACCCGACAGTATAATCAAGACTCTGTGTGTCTGTTTAAAGTTTGTAATTAATCACATCAGATGTGTGTGTGTGTGTGTGTGTGTGTGTGTGTATGGGGGGGGGGCTCTTGGACACAAGCAGTTGGGAACCACTGGTTTAGACGATCGGTGACTGAGATTTTTACAGTTTTACGCAGAAGCTCGAGCTGATTGGCTAAGTCTAATTTAGCTTTTTGGGGTCTTTTCTCGAGTTTCCTGGGCAGCAAAAAAAAATCCATGAATTTGTCATTTTCAGGTCAACCTGTAAACTTTCACTCACGGAAAAAATTTTCAAAACAGCAAAAGTGACTCTAAATCATGCCGTTGCTGACATCAGCCAGCGTTGAGCTCCAACGTCATCACCTGTCCGCATCAGCACCTTTTCATCTGATGTAAATATTTTTAATGTGGAACTACTTTGGGGAAGGTTATTTATTATCTCAGCCATTACTTTCACTGGAATAATTTAAAAGGCAAAGAGATATGATTCTGTTTCTGTGATCTTTGCCTTTCTTTTACATTTTCAGCTATGCTTTTATTCTGAAAAATGGAGCTGGGGAGCTCCGTGTACAAAGCAAACCTGAAAAGCTTTTAGGGTTCTTAAAGAAGCTGTGTCTTTTAGTTTTTATTGGTCGTGAGTGTCTTTGTTGTGTGTAAATATTGCTGATCTGTTGTTTTTAAGCTTCAGCGTCTCTGCGGGGTCACGGCTCTGCAGCTGCGCTCAAGATGTAAATAATATCTCATCACCATGGAAACTCAACTCCCTCCATGGAGAATCATGGAATTTAATTGATATATTTGAGTCTTTTTTCTGTTTTCATATTTCTTTTTTAATTTTCTCCGATGTGTTTGAATATTTGAGCTACAAAACAACGACATCAGTGACACGTTTCGCACTTAAAGTGTGAGAAATGTTGGTTTTATTCTGTTTATGTGACTGTTTTACAGTAAAAAGCTCCTCTTTGCAGGCTTTTGTGTTCTGTGTTATTCTTGTGTTTTTGAAGACGGGTTGTTACTGAATCAAAGCTCACGAACAAAAATAAGAAAAAGATTAATTTCACATTTTGGATGAAATCATCATCATCGAGGCTCCTGCGAAGGGTCGGGTGTCGTCCCGCACCAAAATAGCAACATTAAATTATTAATTTTATTCAAATTCAAAAATACTTTATTCATCCCAGAGGGAAATTGATTAATTAGGTAAATATAAAAATTAACAACAGAAATAAAAAAATATAATTGGCACTTATGTCCTGCAGTACTCAGATCTTCAGTGGAGCATAGGTGTGAGGAATGAACTAATGCTGTTAGAGAGACAGAGGTCCAGGAAGTGCACCGACATGTGGAGCAGATAAATTTGGCTTGAAAGAGTTGAACCCAGATTTATACATTTTTATTTTATAATTCAGACTTTACAAGTTTATGTTCTGTCTGTGCCTAAAACAGCAGCGTTTTAGTTTGAAAACACCCCTGAAACCGGCTCTCAGAGGCCGGGTGTAGATCTGACCCGCACAGTCCGCGTTCTTCTCTATCTCTCTCCACATTCCTTGCCTCCCCTCAGAGGGAATAAAAGATAAAAATTATCGTTATTTGGTGCAGTGTGTGCGTTTCACCATTAGGTCAAAGGTCACTGCTTTACCAAAGTTTTACTGTTTTTATATAATTGATTGTTTTCAGAGTCAAACACAGCTTGAGTTTAGGAGATTAATAAAATTTATGAATATTTTACGAAATTCCCAAAGAAAAAGCTGCAGACTGAAACATAGACCATCAGTGCAGAGATGGATAAAGTCAAATGGGTGGTTTTTTTTTATGTTGGTGAACTTTTGTTGTAAGTTTAGCTAAAGAGTCGGTTTAAATCAGACGACGTGTCCAACGGCCTCGGTGGAAACCCCCCGAAACTCCCCAGGGCTTATGGTGCCATATCTCAGCTGTCGAACGAAGCCCACATCTCCCATCCCTCTGTGTGTGTGTGTGTGTGTGTGTGTGTGTGTGTGTGTGCGCGCGTGTTTTAGTGTTTAATCTGCTCCATCCTCAAGCCGACCAGACCCTTTGAAGCCTGAAATCTGCTCAGTGTAACTGCAGTTTTTGTGGCTTTGCACTAATGTTTCATACGGAAACACACGTTAGAGCTTTTAAAGAATTAAAGCGACCTGGAACACAATATATTTTTTAATAGCTGACATTAATTTTTTTATTGTTATTTTCTGCCTTTAAAACTACAAAAATTTTAAATTTAGCATTTTTCACATTCTTAGTTGGTTCGATTTTATGATTTGTTTTGATGAGTTACTTATAAAGAGGTTGAAACGTCCTGTTGCAGAGTGTCTCGCGTGTCTCAAACAAACAAAATAATGAGCAAACATAATAAAATCATAGTAAAACTTCGATTTACATTTTTATAATCGGATGTTTAAACTAAATAAGAATCCACACACTTCAATCTGCGATGTCAGAGACCTTCATCAGGAAGGTTTCTGACCGAAAGCTTGACCAATAAACTCCTACATCGCAGACTGAAGTGTGCGGAGTCTTATTTTGTTTATTCCACTTTTTGATCCAGCACCAAGCAGTGACTCCTTCTACTCTATAATCGGATGTTTAACATTTTACACCCCAGTTCCAGGCTTTCTGTGACTCTGCACACACACACACACACACACACACACACACACACACACCACCACCACCAGGACCTCATCTAAATGGACTGCAGCTGTGAATAATGTAAAAAACATTTTAAGGATTGAAGAGAATCACTGAATCTAAAATACCAGATCTAGACTGAAGTGATGTAAAATGTACTCTTTTTTAAAATTATTTTTCAGGGTTTTTAAATTTAAAAATGATGTATTTATCTGATTTATAGCTCAAAAAGCCTGCTGGCTTTTCTGTAAACTCCACAAACTGAAGACCAACAAGAAATCTCAAGGGTCGAAGCTCCTAAAAGGTCAAAAGTTCAAACGTAAACCGATCCTTCAACCTTTGGGACGACGCTGCACCGATAACCTTCACTCGTGACCAGCTGATCGCTTCAAACTTCACGGAGCAGAACAGCTGATAAAGCCCCATTCCGACCTGGGCTCCATCCGGGACGGGAATGTGGTCTGACGGGTTTGTGCTCAACTCCATCCAATGACCCGTTCAGGAACGTGCTGCAGCAGAGCGATTAAAAACCGGTACTTTTCTCTGGTCCGTTTGGACTTTTTCAGAGAAAAGGCTGTTCGTTTGGTTCCTCACCGACCTCATCATCAGTTTAACAAGCTGCTCCCTGTACAGAGGAACGTTAGAAAGTAGGAGAGAATAACAAAGTCCGTTTGGAGCAGGGGTGTGTCGAACCCTGGTCCTCAGGGGGACTCTATCCTGCAGTCGTTTCCTTGCTCAACACGCCGTCTTTCTTCTTCTCTGGGTTTTAACGGCAGCCTGCATAGCTGCACTGCTGCCATCTGCCGCTGTTCTGACACAGCACCATACATACATGCAGCTTATGCGCATGCATCTAAACGCCACACGAGGAGCCGTCAGTTCAGGACACAGACGACAAAGAACAAGGAAAACGTTTGGCAATTTTTTTCTCCATTAAATTTGACCATCCACAGAAATGAACGGATGAATGTGCATCACAAATCTTTATTTTAGCACCTTCTAATTCTAAAACGTTTAGAAAATAAAGCTTTACAGTTTATTAAATTAACTTGTCACGGTGTCGTGCGGTTGTTCAGAACAAGTGTATGATGATCTGACGAGTAAACTGGCTCATTAAAGTGGCGTACATCTTTAAAATGTATGATGTTCTGACAGCGTATGTCATGACTGTGGGGAGTTTCCTGACCCAAGACATGCAGAATCACACTAGGAGACGTAGGTAAGAAGAAAAATAAATGTTTTATTCGTTCTTTGATGATCTTAAAGAAACTAAAGGTGCACCGCCAGACGTGGCGATGATGCTGAGCACAGCTCTGGGGCGTGTTTGTGGAGCTGAAATCCAATAGCTTGGGAGGGTAGACAGGACTGGGGGTGAGCAACGTCTGTGGTGATCCGAAATCCAAGGGAGGTGAGCGGTGGGAGAGCGGGTCGGTCCAGGTGTGGAGGGAGATCAGGTTCGGAGGCGAAATCCAGGTTATTGCAGAAGTGGTCAGAGGTGAGAGTTCCCGGTGGGACAAGGCGGAGTACCTTCAAAAACTACGTAGCGTTATGAATATTATAATTGTCTGCCCTTAACAGCTGCCCCTTCACACAGTAACATCGCCAAGGTCGGACGCTTGTTTCAGTATGTTTACATTCCAGGAGAAGAGAAAGAAGAAGAGAAGAAGAACGCTTTCCATTAATTAATCAAAGTTCTTTATTCGTGATAAAGCTAATCAGAGCATATGTTGATCATTAATAATCAGGTGAATGATCTGTGAATTAAAGATGTCATGAGTTATGTGTTTAAATGAATAAACAGGACTGCACCAGACACACTGATATACATTACCATGGAAACGCATGACACATTGTTTTCAACCAATCAGAACTTTCGTCTGTCGTAGAGAGAATCTGGGTTGTTTACTGAAAGTGTCCAATCCGGTTTACTAAAATGTATAAACAACTGGGAGATATAAAACAAGGCAACGCCATTTTATACTCAGTTCCATTTTAACCTCAGCTCTGTCCGATCCGAGCTCCAAAGGAGTTACATCATACTCTCAACATTGTTTTCAACCAGCTCTCAATCCATTACCGCCAAAAGAGAAGTACAGGCTGGCCAGATGTACTTTCCTATTTTAAGCTGAGAACTGTCAAGCTGGAGATTTCCGTCGTTTGAACCAACCAGACGGCATTCCTTCAAAATAAGAGTGAACTTGCTGACGCCTGCCGACTGCTACCGGAGTCGACCCACAGACGGGCTTTGTAGTGCTGCGACCGCTGTTCCACCAGCTCCAGTACATCCGAGGGTCCGAGGACCTGGCATTTCCTGATCTACACGGGAGGCTCCACAGGGTACGTGGTCACGGCACAAAATGGCGGCTCATGTCATCAGCTTCTGAAGCCTCGTGGTAGCCTAGTCATAACAACCAGATTCGCTACGCTAGCCTAGAGATTCTGAACAAAACACACACCCACACACCAACACTATAACATTCAAATCCATATGCATTCATCATTGAGATAGTCCTGGTATATTGTAAGAATTTATAATTATAGAAATTAAAGATTCTTAAACGATCCCAACTCTCTCCTTTCTTGTCTCTCAGTCAATACAGAGTGTTAAGTAAACTCCCTGATGATAAAAACAACCACTTCGGATTATAATATTTAGATCTAATTACAGTGTATAAAAATACGACTACAGATCACTACAACTATGACTGATTAGGCACAAAAACAAGGACTAAATCTTTAGTTAACTCTATAATGGCACAGCTACCCAAAGTGAGTAATCTTCCGGCGAGGTGAAGTGATCTCCAGCTCCTTATAAAGGCTGGCTGGTGATGGGGAAAAGCACAGCAGCTGGCTGCTCTCCGGAACCGCCCACCTGCAACGACTTGAGGCGGATTAACAGAATGTGCAGACTCACCCCAGATCCTGACAGCGTATGCCTGTCTAATTTGCCTATGCTAATCTAACGATGTATGGTGATTGGACGGCACGAGAGTCAAACTGCTCAGCACACCTGGCTCAATAACTGAATGTCCTGTTCAGCTCTACAGAAGCCTCATGTCTACTAACTGAATAAACAGATAGGATCATCTGCCATAATCCAGTCACTGCTGCGCCACGGCCAAAGAACCATGAAGTAAAAGCAGGCAAGAGAAGGCCGGAGCACAAAGCGAAAAAACATTTACGTCACTTTGAGTGCTTCGGCCCTCTTCTGCCTATTTTATCTTCTGACTGAACTCAGGTGTCAAAGCAGAGAAAACTTAAACACGTGCAGGATGGTGGCCCGTGAGGACCAAGTTTGGACACCACAGTGAATCCCTACAGAATGCGGCAGCAGATTTATCTGAAGGCCCCGTAAAAAATCCTCACGTTGTGATACTGTTCATTTAAAATTGTACTACTTATCTTTTCTGAACGGGAAGGTTCAGTTTTCTGTTTGAGAAAAGCTGTTGATTTGGTGATTCTGCCTCTACCTAGTGGCTGGTTGTTATCTTTGCAGCCGAAGCAGAAGTCTTTGCAATCCAAACCGCCGCTTTTTATGCCTCAATCCACCTTTAGCATCAAACTTTATTTAGAGATGCGATTGTTACAGGAACATTTGGAAAAGGACAGTTTATTAGAAAGAGTTTTCAGTGACACTAAAAAATTATCTTGTTTTACATAACAGTAGATTACTGCCATGTGTATTAATACATGCACCTTTGTCATTATTTTTCTTCAAATAGTGTTTGTGCTGCTGTAACAAGTGAATTTCTCCACTGTGGGATCAATATAATCTATTCCAGGGGTGGGCAATCCCAGTCCTCGAGGGCCGCTGTCCAGCAGGTTTTACTTGTTTCTCTGCTTAAACACACCTGGTTTGAATCTACTAGTGATTAACAGGCTGCTGCAGAGCCTGATGAGCTGCTGAACAGGTGATTCATCCAGGAATCAGGTGTGTTGGGGCAGGTAAACAACTAAAACCTGCTGCATAGCGGCCCTCGAGGACCAGGATTGCCCACCCCTGATCTATTCTATTCTACTCTATTCTATTCTATTCTTCTTATAAAGATCAGGATTCTGACTTTTCTGAGCTGAAAGTAACTTCTCTTTAACTTATCTTCTAAACGTATCTACTATAAGAGATTTGTTGTAATTTTCTAATAAAACACATTTTTCCTTTAACTAGGTTTCAAAATTAAGAAGAAAAAAGTTTGTAAAATGAAAGTTTTTCTATTGGAAAATGGTGTAAAAACACAAATGTCTTGCTTATTTTATTTTATTTTATTTTATTTTAGCCAAAGTCACTAAAGGCCTTTGTGGAGGCCCCGGTGGGCCACTTGTGGCTTCAGAGCCGTAACTTGGAGACCCTGCATCACTTTTTACTCTAGTTTCAGTTTCCATTTCTTCTGCAGGACAGTTTCGTTTCTCGGCTCCGTCAGCTGTGAGTTTAGGTTTCGTTTCTGACTGACAGCAGACCAGAACAACGCAGATCAGCTGGCGGACCGGAAGCGCCTCACATGCAGCATGTTTTCGTGGGGAGAGGACTGCGGACGCGGCTGCTGGCTGAAAGGCGACTCAAACCCGGCCAGCTGCACCGCGGAGGACGGAGTTCATCACGTCAACATCAGCTACCAGATCACGGATCTGTCCGCAGGGCGCAACCTGCTCGCGTTCGCCAAGAAGAATGGAAACGCGTTTATTATGCGCACGGATGAGCGCAAATGTGGAAGAGTCCGAGTGAAACAGAGTGAGTATCTGCGCAAACTCCTGCAGAATAATAATCCAAATAAATAAAAGTTAATGCAGTTTCAGTTGAACTGAAACAAAAATGAGATTAAGCTAAATCATACAGATTTATTAGATTTATTAGAGTGAGAGTGTCTCTAATGAGTTTTAAAGTCGACCATTACATTTTCCAGGAAGACAGCTAGGCAGACAGACAGGCTATGGATATTTTTAAATGTTGGTAATTAATCATTTATGGTCCTTTATGTCCCAACTGACTGGTTGCTTGTGTCCCTGTGATGAACTGGAGACTTCAGGGGTAGACTATTGGTGGTGGGCCGATATTTACCGTTTTTATACATCGGTATCAGTGGCGTGTCCAGATCTTTTAAAATGGGGTGGCCCAGGTGAGGCACAACTTTGTGCATGGGTGGCGCCAATGGATATGCTTTTTTTGTTTTTAACCCCAAGCCTTTTGTGGACAATGAAAAGCCAATTTAAAGATAAATTAGTGTGTTGGCACCTGGGGTGGCCAATCAGATTCCAAGGGTGGCATGTGCTACCCCAGGCCACTCCCTGGACACGCCCCTGATCGGTATGGCCGATATTTGTCGTTAGTAAAGCCGATTTAAAGTCGGGCACATCCTTGGGCAACCCTGTGTTGTTGCATTCAGCAATGACACCAGCATAATTAATACTTTAAAGTTGTGTAGTAGGTGTCTGTCTTTAACGCTGAGCAGTGCACAACGTTAAGGTCGGTTAAATCTAGAGTTTGAAAACTGATTCTGATTCAGAAATATTGTTTCTGATGCATCAGCCGATGTTTCCTGTCTGTATATTCTATCCATGTGTTGTTGGTCTGATCTTGGAAAAGGCTGTACTAAAACTTCATCTGGTTGTACTGGGATGCTGGTGCGATGACAATAAACTTCTTATATATTCTATTGTGGCGGCCCTGCCACTGATAGGCCGGCAAGGCCGCATTGCCCTCTGGGGGGAGGGTAAATTGGGTTTGTTTATTCCGCTTGTGGTGTTCTGAGGGTTATATTGTTCGGGGTTATGTTAGTGTTGTTTGTTTCAGTTCGGTGTTCACGCTGTGCAGTTCTTCTCCGGTGCCTGTTGGCACCGTGAGTTAAATGCATGTGTGGGGGGATGAAAAGGGGAGCCAGCCGGCTATTAAAAGTGTTCTATGTCTGCTACCTGTCGACTCTTCTTTGCTGCTACACACACATCCCGCTAGAGGGCGGCGCAGACCGCTACACTATGTTATTAGTGACATTGTAGCATGAAAATAAGTAAACTTCCAGGTATTCAATTCAAGTTTATTTATAAAGCGCCAAATCACGACAAGAGTCGTCTCAAGGCACTTCACATAATAAACATTCCAATTCACAGTTCATTAAGCCAATCAGAAAAAATGTTTCCTGTACAAGGAACCCAGCAAATTGCATCAAGTCACTGACTAGTGTCAGTGACTATACAGCAATCCTCATACTAAGCAAGCATGCAGCGACAGTGGAGAGGAAAACTCCCTTTTAACAGGAAGAAACATCCAGAGAATCCCGGCTCAGTATAAGCAGCCATCCTCCACGACTCACTGGGGATGGAGAAGATAGAGCACACACACACACACACACACACACACACACACACACACACACACACACACACACACACACACACACACACACACACACACACACACACACACACACACACACACACACACACACACACACACACACACACACACACACACACCACACACAATAATGTGTCTACAGTTCTATTGTGATGTCTTAGTGAATATTCTATTTGGTGAAAGATAAACTTTATTGTATTTATCCTAGTGAATCTATAATTAAACGGGTAAACTAGCAGTAACACGTCCAACGTCAAGGAAAGCAAAAAGTTATTATCAGGAGAGGGAGAATGTTTAAGTGGTTAGCAGCAGTGTGCTAGAAGACGGCCCCCTCCATGAGGCCACCACAGCTCAGGAGAACATCGTTGTAGCTTCTTCTGGGGAGAAAAACACTTAGAGAGAAAATAAAGTTAACAGCTGAAATAGCAGGAAATAATACAGTTAAAGAGCAGATTGTAGAAGAAAGCAGTCGATTGTGGAAAGTGGTCAGTGTATCCTCCACCAGTCTAAGCCTATAGCAGCATAACTACAGAGATAACTCTGGATAATCTATCCTATTTAGATGGAGGCATGTTGGAGGCAGGGCAAGGGAGAGTCATTATGAAAATCAGCCCAGAAATTCTGCAGTACACATCAGCTGTCTCCTAGATTTTGGCATCAGCAACAGAAAAGCCAATATTAGTCGACCTCTACTGGAGACCTGCTCAGGGCGTCCCTCGCCTCTCGCCCAACCAGCTCCCGAGAGCTCTCTGAGGGATAGGCAGTTCAGAAAATGAGTTAATTATTTAAAAAGAAAAACAAGACCAACTTTATTCAACATGTAAATAACTCAGCATCATTGTTCAGTAGTGATTTTATGTTTATGTTTATTTATTTAACAGACGCTTTTATCCAAAGCGACTTACAATTTATAACCTATAGGGCGTGTTGTGATCTGTGGGGGAAACCAGAGTACCCAGAGGAAACCCACGCATGCATGGGGAGAACACGCAACTCCACGCACAAAGGCCGCAGCCGAGTTTCGAACCTGCAACCTTCGTGCTGCGAGGCAACAGTGCTAACCACTGCGCCACCATGCAGCCCGATTTTATCCTGGTCACATAAGAAAATATGTATTTCGTCATATATGCAGAATTTTTTCTAAACTAGAGCATGAATCCTCTTCAGCTCGAATGATAGAATATTACAAAATATGTCTGTTGTGTTTCCGTAGAGTTCGTGAAGTGTAAGGAGAGGATCGAGGCTGTGAGTTGTGGCGATGATGTCGTAATGTTCCTGTCTGAACAAGGTTCAGTTTTCCACGTGGACACGACTCGACTCCCTTACACACCCCGGTGAGGAGAAACAAACTTCTTTACTGTTTAAATGATATTAAAGTTAAGTTTTACTTGGACCTACAGTTAGAGAAATTTGTATTTTAGGTTATTTGGTAAATGTTTGTTTTTGCTGGTCTCTCAGGACTCTGGAGGCTTTTTCCAACATGGCTGTCGCACAGATTTCATGTGGCAGCCAGCACTCGGTGGCCCTGAGCAAAGGTTCAGTAGAGTTTATTGTTTATATGTTTCAGGATTTAGTCGTTTAACCTCCCGAGACCTGAATGTGAATCTGGTGTGATGTAAAATAAAATAAAATACAAATATTCACAGGTTTCCTATAGAAAAAACAGAAATAAAAGATATTTTTTAACTTCATTCAATATCAAATGTTTCTAAATAATAATAAAAAAGTCTAAGTTTAAGAAAATAAAATATTCTAGTGCAAGAAGCCAATGTTTGAATATGTGGACGGGGGGTCTCAGGAGGTTAAAAACAAAAAAATGCATCCATTGGAGCTCCATTTGTCCTCATTTTAGAACAGAACCACTATAAGATTTAACATTTCATGTTAGCTGTAATGTTTAGAATGACTGAAAAAAGACATGGAGCTGCAGGAAAACGGTCAATCGTTGTTATTTCCTTACAGATGGTCAGGTGTACACATGGGGTCTGGACTCCAGGGGCCAGCTGGGCCTTGGGAAGAGAAACTCAGGGGTCGGTTCCCCCCAGCACCTCCGATCTCTGTCCTCCATCCCCGTGGTGCGGGTCTCTGCTGGAGGAGAGCAGAGCTTCGTCCTCTCTGTGTCCGGAGGCGTGTTCGGCTGGGGCAGGAACGACCGAGGACAGCTGGGGCTGGGAGACACAGAAGGTGATGCTGCCGAATGTCTTACAAAATGTCTCACAATCGCATTTATTAAACTAAAGCCCCCCCTACAGACAGGAATACCCCGACTTGTGTTCAAAGTTTACATCTGAAGAAAACTTGTGACGTTTCATGTGGAAAAGACCACACGGTCATTTTGACCAAGGTTAGTCACCAAATCTAACAATCCAAACACCCTTTCATCCATCCATCTTCCTCCTCTTATCTGGGGTCGGGTCGCAGGGTCAGCTGAAAGACCCAGGCTTCCCTCTCCCCAGTCATTCGGGCCAGCTCCTCTGGGGTGGGAGGCCCACCTAACCACCCTAACACACCTTTCATTAAAGGTGGAATGAAAGACTTTTGATATGCCTTTGACAAATACAGAGGCTTAGTTAAATAATTTGTTGTAAGTTCCAAAAAGTATCTTTAAAAGAATTTAAGGGTAATCTCTGCAAATTATTCCCAATATTTTACCCCTCCCAACCAGAGTGTTTAAAGAGCAAGTCACCCCCCTACCAGAGTGTTACTCCACTCCCACTTCCTGTTTGAAAAATGCAACAAATGCTGTTGCCTAGCAGACCGAGAGGGCGGAGCCGCTAACAAATACACACACACACAGGCTTACAATGACATTGTGACATCATATGGTACCAGCTAACTTTCTAGGGTACCTCTTAGCCAATGGCGATGGCAGATTTAAATTCAAATGCAGTGCAGAGATTTTACCGGACAACGGCACAACACTGACAGTTTTAGGTAGAAAATTTAAATTTTAACTAAAATGCACTAAATTGCAAAACTATTGACTACACGTGTCTGCAGCACGATTAGACACACATTTATATAGTTTATCAGAAAAAAAGTTGATTTGGGGGTGACTTGCTCTTTAAGGAGATTTTTTCCCTAAATAAACACCTCCTTCTGATCAGTCTGGCTCTAATGAATGGATTTGTTGCACAGCCTTTTAAGGTCGTTATAATTAAACCTTTAGCTAAGAAACGTGATCTTGATCCGAGGGCTCTAGCTGACCCCAGACCTGTATCCAACCTGTCGTAATTCTATCTGTGAAATTAGGATTGAAGAAATGCCACTAAGGTGGTTTAAGAATGAATAATCTGATAAATTCCAGTTTGTTTGTGTTAATAATGAATCTGTCATGGAGTTCCTCAGGGTTCAATGCTTGGTCCAAGACTTTTTTATTCCTGTAAATTAATCTCTGGTTGCTCTACCAGCACGGCGCCGTTTTTACGTTCGGCTCCGGCCGGTACGGACAACTCGGACACAACTCTTTCCAAAATGAGCTCCGTCCTCGACTTGTTGCAGAACTGCTGGGAACAAAAGTCATCAGGGTTGCATGCGGAAGGTAAATCACGTCTCTTCAATCGATGCAATAATTTAGGATTTTAAAATGTGTTGCTGCATCAAAGCCTTTGGTGTTTGAAGTTGGAGAGAAATGAATCCTTAAGTGGAAACAAACCTTACGTTTTTAACGCAAAGTTCTTTAAGAATTTCAAAATAACGTATGTAATAATATCAACGGGGAAACAAAGCTTTTAAATCTAAATGTAAATTAGAAAAGATTTAAAGTTATGGAAACATCAACATGTTTAATGAGTTATTTTTTCAAATGAACTTTATTCCTGATTCATAAAATACAACATTATCACAGCTCTTTCAGGAAATGATGCAAAGGGAACATTTGCCTTTTTACTTCATGTGTTTTCTCATCAGAAACCACAGCGTAGTTTTGACAGACTCCCATAAAGTCTACTCCTTTGGGTGTGGAGAGTTTGGACAGCTTGGACACGGAGAGGAGAGCCACCCGTCCGTCCCGCTCCCCGTTCTCCTGCCTCAGGGTGAGCATATCTCTAATCCAAATTCCAGCCACTAGCAGAAATTGGATTAATTAAATAAATTCCTCTTTCTTTGTTCCTTCAGACGCCAAAATCAGAAACATCTTTGCAGGAGAAAACTGTTCCTTTGCAACCTGCAGCTGTGATGAGGTAACATCAGCACCAGAACCCACCTTGGAGGAGGTTCAGCAAACATCAGCTCACCTTATTTACTCCACAGGACGACCACAGACTCAGTAAAACTACTCCCAACGGTCTAGAAGGCATGATTGATAAATGGACTTCTGATTGTGACTCAAAGTCGTGGAAAAAGATAAAACAGTGAGTTTAAAACATTAATAGACTGTAGGAGGAACGGTTTTTATTCTCGGTGGAAATGGATGAAGTGTTTGTTTTCTTCATAGGGAAATCCACCAAACATTCTCATCTGCTTCCTGTTTGAATAAAAGCTGCCTCGAAAGGTAAAACCTTCTCCCTAACGTCCTGTCGTGCCCCGGAGACGTTTTTAATAACTAATCCAGCAAACCCTACGCTCTCATTTTTTCAATTATTTTAGAGAAAAACATTTCCAAACCTCATCAAAATACCACGGCCTGAGCTTGAAAATGGCTCGACTGACTTTTAAGAAACTGGTGAAGAAGGACCGCGTTTGGGAGGAGGTTAGTAGCTTATGTCTCCATAAAAGCGCCATAAGGCCGACGCCTCTGAGACATGATATTTGTTAGATCAGCAGCCAGATAATGGACTCTCACACATATCCTCTGTCAGGCCGAGCCTGCGGTTCTACGCTTGCTGCCTCTTCTTGATAAGAATCCGGTCGGAGTGGAAAGTCTGAGGATCTACATCCTTCTGAACGAGCTCCTACATGTGATCCAGAAGCACAGGTCACCTCAGAGCACGACGCTCGCCGAGGCGGTCGCCACCGCTGTGACCGGCTTGTCCAAGAGAAGCCTCGAGGTCTTGGGTACGATTAGAGCCACCTGGTAACGTCTGATTCGACTAAAAGCTGTTCACAACAATCTTCGTGTGATCTGCTACAGGAGGCTGGTGGTCGTCGCTGTCGCCCTCTAGCATGAGGAGGTTTGTTTCGGTGTGGAAGCAGACACTCGCTGTCATCTTGTCTTATGAGATTGTTCCTCGAAATGCTGGAGTGAGAAACCTGCTTCTGGTCCTCCAGTACATGTACAACGTCAGTAGTATAACAAACACGTATTCCAGGTCTACTTCTACTTCTTACGGGTCTTATAAATGTTTTCTTTTCAGGTCAACAGCAGGATTTCAGAGTCTCAGAGGCTGCCAGACAGCGATTTCTCTTTTTCCATCGATACATTTTTTCTACATGAGGACCTGCAACTCTGGCGTTCACGATTAAATCGAGATGTAAGAAAAAAATAACACCGTTAATTCTTTTCTGTGCTCGTTTTGAGTTTACCTTTCCGGTTGCTCCAGTGGTGCGCGTGCATTGTTTGAGTAAAACTCATTTACTCATTTTAGTTCCTGCGAGTTGAGCCACTTATCCTTTGCCAGTTTCCAGTCGTGATGGATCTGCAAGCAAAGAAAATGGTTTTTGACATGAATGCTGGGCTCACAAAGGTAACTACTAATTTATTCCAGATTTTAAACATAATAAAAAATTACTTTGGCATCATATTTTGTTACATTCACAAGAAAACCAGTAAGAAAAAACAAAGTTAAAACAGCATCAAGAAAAGAAACCTTCATGGAGCATTGTGCTGAAAGCCATCGAGTAAAAATGAGTCCGGTTGACATTTAAATGATGTCAAAGATGGAGCTTGTCAGATGGCCACTGTTCTAGAGCATTGGAGCATCTCTGAGAAGGCCCGATCACCCCTAGTTTTAGGTTTAGTGTAGGGCTATTCCGTTCCGGGCCTCGAGGGCTGGTAGCCATCACGTTTTGGCTTTAACCCTGCTTGATTTCAATCAGCAGGTGATTGACAGGCTTCTGCAGAGCCTGATGAGCTGCTGCACAGGTGATTCAACCACTGAATAAAGTGTGTTGGAGCAGAGAAACCACTAAAACGTGCTGGATACCGGCCCTCGAGGCCCGGAATTAAATAGCCCTGGTTTAGCGCGAGGAACAGTGAGTCTGTCAGCAGATCAGAGTCCCCGTGATGTGCCGTGTCTGTGTAGAACAGCAGCAATGCAAAGCCTTATAAACCTAGACGAGGATTTTAAAATTAGCCCGGTAATGCACCTGAAACCAGTGAAAGGATGCCGGGACGGAAGTGATGTGCTCCCATTCCTTAGCCCCTGCCTTGCTTCTGAATAATCTGCAGCCTCGCTATAAAAATCTGAGTTACTCCAGCAGACGACGGATTACAATAATCCAGTCTAGGTATAAAGAATGGAGGATTGTTTTTAAGTTCACACAGGGACAATGGTTATTTAATGCTAGAGGGTTGGTGTAACTGGAACAAGCACGATCTTACAACAGTGGACCTGGGTACCCTGGGCCATGGTAACTCTTGCAAGGCCGTGCAGCCTCCATACCGTGCAGTGAGACAGGAAATCAGGACACTCTCCACTACAGCTAAGCAATGAGAACGTTGGCGTTCAGTCCTGCCCTCCTCAGAAAATAAAATGTGATCCAACAGCAGAAGTGTTCAAAAGTAGCTTCATTGTGCCGATCTGTGGCTCTATGGTAAAGTTTTGTGTTTCTCCCACCTGTGTTCTAACTTTTCCTGCATTTCCTCACAGCACGAGGAGTTACTCGAGTGGACATTCACGACTGTCTTTAATGCACTTTGGGATTGTGAGTTTCATTTGAGTGACGTTCCTCAACCTTTGGTGCTGAAGCTGAGGCGACTGTTGGTGTTGGAAGACACCTTTGAACAGCTGACTGCTGTTAATCTGAGAGACTACAGGAAGCCACTTTTGGTAAACAAACATTACATTGTCATCCATAGAAAACATTACAGTAATAACACTCTGGATTATGGACTACATTCTGGACAGTACTACATTGAAATCGGGGGCAGCAGTAGCTCAACAGGTTGCGTGGGTTGTTCGGTAATCAGAAGG